TCCTTTTATGACTGTTTCAAAGTGAAACTTTAATTATAACCACGCTGTATATTATTAAATTTTAATTTGAAGATATGCATTATATTTATACCATGCGTAAGATTTTCATTTTTATGGAAAAAATAAAGAATCGAAGCAAATATACTTAGGATAGTGGACCGAAATGGAAAAAATTTCCCCTCCCTCCAAAAATAAAATACTGAAACTTCAACCTTGAATTTATTGGATTATCCAAAATATTCAATTTGACTTATCTTCTATGTCATAGTTCCGACAACAATTCCGAATTACTGAAGCTGAAGTAAAAGGTTTAGTATACATTCACTGTATGTTAATAAAGTAATCAGAATGTAATAAAAATAGATTATAGAATTTACGCTGATGCAACTTTTTGTCTGAATGCTCAACATGTAATGGAAGAGAAGGTTTATAGAGATCTGTTTTCGACAAGCCTCTAAAAGTAGATGTCATACTCCTTTTGTCTCTTCAATGTCAAAAAACTTTCCTTTGAAGAAAAAAAATCACAAGAAGACAAATTTGAAGAACATGCAGGACGATTGAGTACACATACTTATTTTTAGAACACAAGCAGTTCTCCGATTGGTAACTGAATAATGAAAAGATGCATTGCCATGCAATACAAAACATTTGGAATACGTTTTCTGACCAAATAACATAAGATTAAAAGTCATCTGGTTAATTCACAGCTATTTACAAGTCAACTACTCTGGCAATTGCAGAATTGTTTTGATCCTGAGCTTGTAAGACAAACCTAATATCACTGGATTTAAACACTTCTTTAATCTTCCGAGAACATTCCTTCTTTAGCTCATATTCCAAGAATATTAAGTGAATACAATTATTGCAAAAGAAATTGAATATTCATTTGCACTATGGCTTGGTAGTTTACTAACGAGTTAACAAAACTTAAATTCTGCTTTTTGTGTCTAAGAATACAACAATATTTTAAATATTTACAAATAAAATATTAAATTGGAGCCTCACCAGTTGCCTAGCATTTGAAGATTGTTAAATACTAATTGTTTGTTGTGAAGTCTAACCCAGGCTGTATGGTTGGTTTTCATAGTTTTCTAGGTTCTCTATGAAAGCATCTTAACCAAAGAGCTCCCATGTTCTTTCTATGTTCAAATAACCAACTAACCTAGTTTAAGCGCGATTTCTAAGTGAAATTACTAGCAAAACCCGAACACTCATTAAAAATCATGTAGCTTGCCGATTGGGAGTAACATGGAAAGATACGGCGCCAATAATTGAATTGCTGTTACGGTACGCTGTTTCTAAAATTAGATGGTCATTTCTTAATTAAATATAATTGATTTGTAACTTCTACTAGAGCTGACGGTAAGAACTGAAGTGGAAGTAAATAATATTGTGTGCAATCTTGATTAATATAAAATTAGAAATATTTGCATTCAGACAGAAAGTTTTTTGAAATATTTGCAATTACTTTATAAGAAAGATTTATTAATAACCATAATAATTACTTATTATATTACTGATGATTAGAATTCAGTTCTTGACAATTACATTCTAAATTAGAATTTTAAGGATATAATGAAAATACACTATGCATAAAAATACATTTTAGGATAAAAAAAAATTAGTCGGTTTTTATGTTTAAAAACTTCTTAAATTCATTTAATAAACATCGTACCCTCATTGTTAATTGAATCCAGAATGTTGGGTGTCGTTTATATAATTATTCTTACTTGTCTACAGAACCTGCTGACTTATTGGCCCTTTCAAGACGGGCGTCCCATATACGCATTCTCTAAGAACGTCTCTTACAGCCTGGTGTCTCATCCACGCATCAAAAGAGATTGCATTCAGAGGACGGGGGATGCGTACACGCATTTTAAGCTGGAACGTTTTTCTGAAGGCCACTAGATGGCATCCTATGTCCATTACTTTTGAAATGTACACAGTTTTAGGTTTTTGACCTTGAGTTTGATATATATTGCCTGACTTTGGCATTTTACTCATCAGCTGTTGCGAGGGGGAAAAGGAAAGCGTAAACAGACGTGGGCTCTTTAAATCGCTGCGTGTTAATGAAAACATTCTCATGTCTGATTTATATCCAATTCCTTTTTTTAATTCTATTTTTTCCCCTCTACAATGTATGGTCTTTTAGGGCTACTGTGTGGAGTTCTTTTACGTTTTGAACTGCCTTCAGATATATTACCGTTTCTTCTCTTTTTATTTAGGAAAGCCGCACCTCCAGTCTATTATGGCGGGAAGGCGCTATTTATCAGAGGAAGAATACCCTCGTATGGTTAGTGAACCATTTACTAACGCAAATGAGAGTGATGATTCATTTTCTAAAGAGTTAGAAAGTGATACTTCTCCGTGCTTCGTGATTTACCGCAATCTTCATTTTAAATTTTGTTACTTCTTACTGTAAATAGTCTTTATTGTGCTGTTTCATTAATTTTAAACTTTATTGATGGATTTTTATCAATTAAAACTTTGGAATAATTTGAAAGGCGCTTCCGAAAATTATTTTACAAGATAAGCAATTTTTAAAGTATATTTTCATGTAAAATAAAGAAAAAAACGTTATTAAGTACTAATTTTAACATATATAAGAGCTCAAGTAATAATCTAAAATGATATTAAAAATTACGATGCTAGAAGTGAAACTTTTTTTTTATAAAATTAGGCTTAGCGATGCAAAACCTCCGTCCTGTACGGTGACTGCCTTCGATTCCCTTCTGTCTTAAACAAAGGCGCACCGTCGTGAAAAGGTTAAGTAACTGCAGATAATTTCTACATATCCATTGAATTCGGCCTCTAGAAGGTTGTATGTTTATATCATAATTTGATTTTTATAAAAATGATTATTCTAAATTTTATGTTTCTATAAAAATTTACTGTGCTTTAAAAATATGGATGATAGTTTGAGCCGCTATTGTAGCCACTTCATAACCAACAGCTTGTTTAGAAATAAATTATGCAGTTAATGTCATAAAATATTTTCATAAAATTCAAATAAACATCAAACGAAAGTTCTCAGTTTTAGATAATTCGATTTAAACGAAGTTAAAGTAAAGTAGCAGATGATAAAACGCCGAAAATAAAAATTTACTCTTACAAATATTTTTTTAAAAAGGGAAGAAAGAAATTAAAAAAAAAATAGTTAAAAATTTGAATAATATCATCTGTAATTTAAAAAAATAGCTTTTCATACAGTATTAATAAATATTTATTATGCATCATTGAGGGAAAAAATTTCGTATAATTAATTCTCCGTAAAATTTTATTTGAAATTTAAGGTTAAAAATAGCTGTGGCAATTCACTGTAACAAAATCCATAAATTACATTTGGCGTTATTATCGCCCCCCCCCAAAAAAGCCAAATTTCAAAACGTGAAAATATGTAAATTCGTGTATATCTCAGAAATACACCTACTTTAAGATGATGGCAAAAATTTATAGGTTAATAATTTTATAGGTAATAATATATATAAAATTTTTTTCGAAAAATTTATAAAAATTATTTCAAAATAGAAATTTTAAAAATAAAGCACAAAAAATTGGTAAATTTTATTTGAACCTAAATTTCGAAATGTGAAAGGAAAAATAAAAAAGTTTAATAAAAAAGAGATATTAATAAATATTTGCCAAATTCAATTAACATTAAGGAGCTAATATTTTAAAAACTACTAGTGCAATTTTTACAAAACTTGGCATTTTGGCATAATTTGAGTCGTAGAATTAAAATATGGGGGAAAAAAAAAAAAAAAAAAATCGGTGTTTTATTTCAGAAAAAGTCTGATTTTGAGTCAAAATACATATGTTAGATTAGTGCTATATATAAATCTAATACATATCCTAAGTCACGCTTTTGAGACATGAAAAACGCAGTTTGAATTTTGTCAATCGGCATAGCACTGTCCCCATTTTTTTTAAAATTTTTTTTATTTATTTTTATTTATTTATTTATTTATTTTTTAAGCAGTGTACATTTTCTTGACAAAATAATTGAAGGAAAGTCATCTGAGTAAGAATTAAGAATTTTTAAACGTACATGAGTATTAATTAAACCTTTTTCACAAACAAAACTAAGGTGAAAGATTGTAATTTTTTAAACCATTTATTTCTTGAAAGCACGTGACACAGCATTCAGCCATGAGACGAACGAAATAAAAATCCAACCTCAATCTTGCTTTGTGCTAATATATGAGAAGACATATAGTGGCACTTGATGCTCACTGGAGAACTGAAACACTATGTTTTTAGACACACGTGCTCTTACTCATAAAGCAAAAGAGTGCCATAATGTCTTCTGATGAAATTACTTTTTTTTCTTTTTTTTTCTTTCTGTCTCTCTCTCTCTCTTTAAGAAAAAAAAAGAAAAAGGCCAAGCACTTTCAAATACCCAAAATCATTTTTTTTTGCATGCAGATTCAAATGAAATGAAGCTTTAATTTGAAAAATTTAATGTAAATAAAATTTAATGTGCAAAAGAACACAAAATGTGATAAGGGAAAAAAATCAGATGAAATCATTATTTAACACAAAAAATTATTCTTAAGAAATTCACTAGAAATGGGGTGGGGATGCAATGTGCACAATTTAAATTTCATTTATTACAAGGAAACATTTTCCTTAGCTAAGAAACTAAAAACTCAGAGATGTGTAGAAAAACCAGAAGAGGCAGTTTTTTATGATATGATACAATAAATTCAAATCAAATCTCCTCTTCTGTTAATTTAGGTTAATTGTTCTATGCTACTTAAATTAACATATCTCATTACAGCAAAATTCACAGTTTTTGTGTATTTTACTGTAAACTCTGGTTACATACTTTTTACCAACTAGTATTTTATATTAAAAAAAATTAAATTTCCTAAAATTTTACTTGAAAATCTTAACAATTTTTTTGAATTTTTTCCCCTCCTTGATTGTAAAACTAAACTACATTACTAAAATAAATGAATGCTATTTAAACAGCAATTATAATGCGAAATTATACTCACTTCGAACTTGTGATAATTCAATTTCAACCAGCAATTTACTGTCTCTTGCTTCATTTAGAAGTTCTAAAAGTACAGCAAAATCATGAACATTCAAAGTTTAACATGCACTTAGTTTTAAAAATATTTACAATATAGTCTCATTACATTTTACTATTCTCACAAAGATCAGATTTTATAATCTCCTTAAGGTCAAATTTGAAATTCATATCTTGTATTATATACTTTGATACCATTTTCATTCCAATTACGGAACACTTTATTAAATATAATAGATTAATATAAAGGAAGAAAAATACAGTTTTGAAAGCACTACCACAATTCTGTAACCCTTTTAGACAGATTCTAAGTTATACCCGGAATGATTTATTATTCATGTTGCCAGCCAAATAAATAAAAGTAATTATAATAAAAACTCCTCCCTTATGAAGTCTCAGAATGAATAATATAATAAAAAAAGAAAGCATGTGTGACATAATGCGATTTTTCTCCAGACTAGTTGAGATCAGCATGTTACTTTCAAACACCCATAGGTTTGGGATCCGCACTTACCTAACAGCAATGCACTGATGCTGGTCAGGATCACAATTTAAGATTTTTTAAGTAGTCACACATGCATGTGTGTGCGAGGGGGATATGCATTTTTCACCTGTTTAACAGGCAGCAGAATTTAGGAATCTCTTCATTTCCTAAATTCTGCAGCCTGCTATCTCCTTAAATTCTATAAGAATTGCCGCTCACAAATTCCACTGCTCAGTGCCTCTACTAAATTCGAAAAAATTCTGCCATCCTTAATTTTTTCTACCCCCAAATTCTGATACCTCATGTGGTCACACCGGTTGTTCCAGTTCTGCCATAGGCCCCGACAGGGGCTAGCATTTTTCGATCTGATTTAAATAATATGAAGCTCCCAATGTTGCCATGTCTGCATGTCATCTTACTACATTTAAACCAACGAGTTAAAAATCTGGAAATTCCCTAAATCCAGAATCGTTCATCGAAGTCTTGACGATTCTGGATTTCGGACTTTGTACAGAATTGTATTGCATAGAAATTAGCTGGAAAATTAAGTTTTAAATTTCTAATAAAATGAGCTTATGTTTTAAAAAAATTTACATTAGCTACTAATTTTAAATCATTTCTGTAATGAAGTATTTCATTTCCTTCGGCCAGAAAAAGGAATAATCAAAATCAACAGCAGCTTTTATGTTACACAGTACTTGCACTGAAAAAGAAATTGATATATGGGTCTTGCAGGCCATAACAGCACTTTTGGCTTAGAGACACAATATGCGATTTATACTCAACAGACTTTAATTAGACTCTCCAGATCACTGACATACCCACAAAGCCATGGAAACCATGGCACCTTTATAAAATGGTGCCACCAGACAGTACTTATCTGGTATGCCAAAGCTAGAGAAATCTATTAAACATTTGATAGACTATTATATTTATTTTTTTATTTCTATAATACAGTAACTAACAAAGTTATATTTTTTTATTCATTCGATTATTTGAACATAAACATACTAGATAACAAAGTCTTCCTGGAAATTTTAATTTGCATAAATTTTATTAGATCATATTGTTACGAATTTGGTATTTAAAAAGCTAATGTTAGTTCAATTATAAATTAAATGGTTTTATTTCTCGCGCAGTGCAGCGCGTGACGAATATTAAAAGAAAGCTAAGCCGGAAAAATTAAAAATACAAGAGCGCGTGCGTTAAATAAATAAATATCTCTTTTTGATTTCGAGAAAGTACTGGAAAATTCTAGCGCGTGATTTTAAAATCTTATAAAAGGAGGAAAACATCTCAGTTTGTAGTAGTAGTTGCTTAGTTTGTTGTTGTTTAGAAAACTGCTCTTGTTGATTGTAGCGAATTCGCGGATTAGCGTTCTTTAGCTGTTTTGAATTACGTTCTATTGGACATTTGAGTAGTTAAAAGATAACTACTGTGAGATATTGTAATACTGCATGATAATTTGAGAAAATTTAAGCATTTTTTGTTGTGATAATAATAAATTTTTGTTCATTTTTCATCGGACTTGTGCATTCATTTCATAACGAACCCGTACGCACGCAACAATTTTTGGTGTCAGAAGTGGGATTTGAATGCCAATAACAAGAGCGATGGAAGAACAATTGAGACAGCTCATTAGTGCTTTTGCTGCATTCCAAGAAAGATGGAAGCTGGCCAAGCATCATGTATTAATAAAGCTGCATTGCTAAAATGCGTGAAAGAAAGAAGTTACAATGAAAAGATGGAAGAATTTCAGCGAATCATTTAAGGAAGAAATGAAATTGGGCCAGGAATCCGTTAAGGAAGAAATGAAATTGGGCCAGGAATCCGTTAAGGACGAAATGAAAGCCGTTCAAGCTGGTCAAGAAGAAATGAAAAGAGAAATTACTTGCATAATAGAAAATAAATTTGAAGCTATGGAAGGCAGAATTGACGCAGTTGAAAATAAAGTTGGACATATTGAAGAAAGAGTTTCTTCGGTGAAAGAAGAAATAGAAGAAAGAGTTTCTTCTGTAAAAGAACAAATTGATGAGAGAGAGTTTCTGCAGTTGCCAAAGAAATGGATACTTTAAAGAAATTCGTAGCGTCGGCAGGGAGCAGGAGTGATGATTTTAAATTCTTACCAATGCCTGCTCGTCCACCTCTGAAGCTATCCACATATGATGGGAAGACCTCCTGGCAGGTGTATAAGACACACAATTTTCTATCGTGGCGGATGCGAATGGATGGGATTCCCAAGCTAAGGCCTGTCATCTCGCCGCTTCTCTAAGAGCCGACGCAGCGGATATCCTTCAGACTCTTCCCGAAAACAAAAGGTTAGATTTCGAAGCTCTGTCCGGCGCCTTGGAGTTGCGCTTTGGGGAGAAGTGTTTAAAAGACTACAGCAGGCTCCAATTAAAATCTCGTCAACAGAAGCCTACCGAAACACTTCAGGAGCTCGCCGCGGATGTTGAAAGGCTGTCCCATCTCGCCTTTTCGGAATGCCCGACAGAAACAAGGGAAATCCTGTCCTTGCAATACTTTATCGACGGCATCCGAGATACTGAAATACAGAAAGCTCTACGAATGGCGGATGTAAAAGATTTAAAAAGCGCTCTGTTGTACGCCATGAAAGTTCGAGGCAGCCCAGCAAGCAACTAGTAGAGATCGCTACCCAGTTAGAGCTGTGCGAGTCCATGAGCCAGTGGATCAACTGATGGCTCGTTTAGATGATTTAGCCAGACAAGTCGAAGATTTGATACGGAGTAGGAGCGAGAAGAAAGTGGCTCTAAGGTGTTGGAGATGTGGTAGTGAAGGTCACCTAAGACGGAATTGCAGAACACCCCAGGGTACGGAATATAAAGCAGATGATTTTACCAGACAAGTCAGTGGCTTGAGACGGAACAGAAGTGAAAAGAAACTAATTCTAAAGTGCTGGAACTGCGGAGTTGAAGGCCACATACGAAGAAACTGCAGAACACCCCGAGGTACGGAAAATAAGACCATTTCCCAGCAACAACGCAGTAAACAAATTAGTGACCATATCGAGGAACGGAGGTTGCCAGATAGTGAAAAACCTTGTTTTAAAGCTCTTAAAATTTATACAGTGAGTGGCAACAATAACGGACTGTCCATCAATGGGAATATCGATGGAGTTCCTTGCAGTATGATCATTGACACAGGAGCTAATGTTACCATCATTAGGAAAGATTTAGCTGAACAGTTTAAAGATAAACTTATTTGGACGCCATCCTGTGTTACCCTTCAGACTGCGTCTGGTGACAAGATCGACATAACTGGGAAGTTAAACGTAAACATCACGTTTGGAAGTGCCGCCTACCATCACACACGGCATATGTGGCGGATATTACAGATCCATGCATACTCGGATTGGACTTTTTAAGGAAATACAATTTTTCCTTAGACTTGAAAAACAACAAACTGCTTTCAGGATCTGAAGACATGACTATCCATCCTAAGAAGGGATCCTCACCTGGAAATGCCGACGCTTTGTCCGAAAGAACCAGCTCGAGAAACAGCCGAAATCATGCTAGGGTCGAAAAGAAACACCAGACTACCAGCTATTCTCCATCTCAGATGCTCTTCGGTCGAGACCTTCGTCTGCCTTGTGACCGCCTGTTTCATCGCCGTACGGATGCGCCTTCATCGCCTGAGGAACACATCCAAGATGTCAAGGCCCGTTTTGAAGTGATGCACCGTTCCGCACGAAAGCGAGTGAACTTGGCGACGGAGAAAGTGAAGACCAGATACAACACGAGAGCTGCTGGACATAGATCCAACGAAGGAGACAAGGTGTGGTTGTGGAACCCGATTCGACGAAAAGGAGTCAGGCCTGATTTACAGTCACCTTGGGATGGTTCGCACACAATCCTAAACAGGCTAAATGACGTCATGGTTCGGATCCGTGAGTCTTCGAACTCTTACGACAGGTTAGCTCATTACTATGGCCATAGTACGTAATGTAAATAATTGTAAATAGTATCAGACCATGGTCCTTTTTTGTTTATAAATGTGTATTTGATTTGATTTGTATTTAGTATTTGATTTGTATTTAGTATTTGTTTTGTATTTAGTATTTGATAGCATTTGATTTGTTTAAGTTAGTTATTGCATTTATTGTTTATATTGTTTGATATTGTAATGTAATGTTTATGCCTCAATTGCATTTATGCCACAGTTGTAAGTTTAGCTTCCTGTCCAGGGATTGTACTGCCCGGGACGTGCAGTCCTTGGGAAGGGGGCAGTGTTACGAATTTGGTATTTAAAAAGCTAATGTTAGTTCAATTATAAATTAAATGGTTTTATTTCTCGCGCAGTGCAGCGCGTGACGAATATTAAAAGAAAGCTAAGCCGGAAAAATTAAAAATACAAGAGCGCGTGCATTAAATAAATAAATATCTCTTTTTGATTTCGAGAAAGTACTGGAAAATTCTAGCGCGTGATTTTAAAATCTTATAAAAGGAGGAAAACATCTCAGTTTGTAGTAGTAGTTGCTTAGTTTGTTGTTGTTTAGAAAACTACTGTTGTTGATTGTAGCGAATTCGCGGATTAGCGTTCTTTAGCTGTTTTGAATTACGTTCTATTGGACATTTGAGTAGTTAAAAGAAAACTACTGTGAGATATTGTAATACTGCATGATAATTTGAGAAAATTTAAGCATTTTTGTTGTGATAATAATAAATTTTTGTTCATTTTTCATCGGACTTGTGCATTCATTTCATAACGAACCCGTACGCACGCAACAATATAGTTTGCATATTTTAATAAGAAGGTTTAGGCTAATTACAAATGTTGCTTTTAATGAATATTTTTTAATAAATGTTGTGGGCCAACCCCAAAGAGAAGAACAAGGGTTGCTGCACTGCATATAAGGAGGGGTAACTTTTCTGTAGGAAGGTTAATTAATGTGTCACTTACTTTCTTTTTTAAGAGTGGTAATTTATGTTTCCAGGGTGTTTTTTAAAACATGAACTCTTATTATTAGACAGGAATGATCTATAAATTTTTTTAAAACTTTCCTGACACATTTTAGAAAACATTCTGAATTTTCATAAATTTTTGGAAACATACATAGATTTTTCTCTAAGTATGTTTCACATTTCTTGATTTAATACAACTTTTCAGGTGAACAGGAACTATGTTAAATCATAACCGAATAAAAGTTGCACAAAGAAAAATCTCTAATTTTCTTTTAAACTCTCATATATTCAAAAATGAAATATCTTCTCAAGTGAGGAATAAGTTTAATGTAAAATACTGCTTCATTTCCAGAATTTAATTAATACTACTTACAATATATATTAAAGAGCAAAATTTAATCATTTATTTTAAAAGTTATTACAAAACACATTGAAATAATTGATAACAACACATCTAAAGTCCACATATACTTAAAAACAAAAATTACACTAGAAAAAATATAGCATTCTTACTTTTTAACTGCTGTATATCACTTTGAAGTTTATTTACAAAATCAGAAGGTTTGATATCACCATTTGAAGTGAAATCTTCAGTCTCTGAATACATAAGAGCTTCATTTTTAAGATTTTCTTTTTGTACTCTTTGCAATTCCAATTCAAGTCTATTCACTTCACCTAAATTTATAAAGAAAAAATACCTCCAACAAATACAAGTTAATTTTTAAAATTACAGCACAAGCAATTTGTTGAAATAGTAAACACAATAGCACACAAAAATAGCTAATCTTATATGATTAAAAACCTGAAAATTAATTAAAAAATGGAACACTGGGTACTTCTATTTAAACACACACACAGAAAAAATAAATGATAGCATTCATTCACACAAGAAAGTAAGGATAAAACTTACAACTAAGCTCCTGAATTAAATTTTTTTCTGCAGTTTCACTCTCTGTAGAATTTAAAACACCTATGAGATAAAGAAACTATTTAATAAAAAGCAAGATGAAGCATTGAAATGGATGAAGTGCTAATACGGAAGCACTTCCGCAGAGAACCCGGTAAATGTAAACATCACCAACTTTGGCGATAATAGTTCAAACCTGGTAACCCATCGGATTTATCCTATTCTCTTGTTCGAAGTTTGCAACCATTTCTCATGCGTTCATTTTGTTGAATTATTACTGTCGTTGTTCGCATTTGCAGATTTATATTCTTCTTCTCTTATTTATTATTATTTTTTCTGAATTTTTTAACAACGAATAGATAGAAATATTTTCGTAGATATATGCCAGTTCTCGGTTTGCGATGAAAGGAAGAAAATACGGTGGGAGGGGTGAATGCTAATTTGCAACACGGCTGTTCAGGTTGTGTTCCTTAATTATTAACAGCTCTAAGAACCATGAGGTTCCCAACTGCTAAAATTTGTTTTCGTAGGCTGCAAAAATGTGCATGTGCATTTTAAATAATTAAGAAATGCTTTATTTTGATTATTGGTTATTGTCATCTAAAATTATGTGAATAAATCAATTTTTATGGCGTAAAATTTTAACAAGATAATATATTGTTAATGCTTTTCTAACAATAACCTTTCAGAGGATGGCCGGTGTGACATAAATAGATTATTAAATTGAAATAAAAAATATTGATTATCTAAGATGACAGAATAGTTCCATGCACATGGTCATCAAAATTAGCAAACCACTGCTGGTGTAAGGAATATATTGTTTTCTGTGTTAACTGGAATTTAATATATTTTTTCGTAATATTTTTTCGTACACCACGCTTAACCGGTTAATTTCAGTATGTTAATACTAATTTATGTTTTTAAATGAATTTTTATTTCTGTTATAAATCCTTATATATTATCTTATGCTTAATATATTCTTTTCTGTGCTAACTTGAATTTAATGCAAATTTATTTTCGTATATCACGTTTAACCGGTTAGTTTTACATCTACATGCGTATTATCTGTGAATTTTTACTACCATATGCTTAATATATTGTTTTGTCTGCTAATTTGAATCTACATGCACTAAAAATCACATTTACAAAATATCACGTTTACGTCTCGGCTCATTGTCGATGAACGGCGAGATTGGCGAATAAAAATGTAACGGCGCCAACGGGTTCTCTGCGGATGAAAACCCGCTAATACAAATTGAATACACGAAATAAAATAATAATAATAATAATAAAAATCAAGTGTATATTATTTACCAATACACTAGCCCTCAGATGGAAAAGCTATACAGCAAAAGTCATTAATCCGGACTCGTCAAGACTTCGGCGATTCCGGATTTACTGATTTTTCTGGATTATAGATCATCAGTTTAAATCTTGTAAGATGGCATGCAGAAATTATAAAATTAAAAATATGAAACCGTAATTTATGAAATAAAGAACAACTATGATCTAAAGGGTATCAAAATTTACAAAAAGAAAAAGCTCAATATTTATTTCTTTACTTTATTAAACATTTCTTTCAATGTAAGTTGTTTAAGTTGCTTTGTTTCATGTGATAATACTTTCTCTTTAATTTTATTAAACAGACATAATTTCTTGTTTAGTTACAAAGTTCTGCTGTTCACGTCCTATAATTGCTGTGTCGAGAATACCGACTAATTTATCAATCGAAATTTTTTCATTTTCAATAACCTCTGTGTCACTTTCTTCACTATCGGAAGCGAATTATAATGATGAGGAACTTGATATAAATCATATCAAAGACGGAGTACATCGAGATGAAATACTACATTTAGTAAGGAATTATAAGACAAATAAAATAAAAACATCTGGCCTGAAGATAAGGATAGTGCTGACAGATCAACTTCCAATTCATGGCGCGCGACGTCGTTCCCCCCCCCACAGAGCAGCGTGAAATTGATAAACATATTTTGGAAAGATTAGATAATCAAAGGATATGCCTTTATCCATTTTTTGCAGCAATTCCACTTTCTGTTTAATGGACTTCGAAACATACTTTCGCTTTGTAGATCCTTTACATATTAGTAAATATATATTGGAAATTCTATTTGACATAATGAAAGTTCAAGCTTACTTTTATAAAATTGCTCTAACAGTCTGCAAAAATTAATAAGCCGGATCCAATTCGAAGATTAAGGAACAACGTAATCTCCAACATTAACCGAATTAGATAATTTTAGCTTAGCTTATACCGTCCGTTATACATTAAACGCGCATGTGTAAACGTATTATGTGCATGCGCACAAGCCTATGCGCATGCGTCAACGCAACGCATGTGCAGAAATTTTGTAGCTTTGAGGTCCGGATTATAGATCATTCCAGATTATGGGTGTCCGAATTAACGACTTTTGACTGCATATAATAGAAAAAGGGGAAAATCAAACAAATAGTTAAAAAAATTTCAGAACCTAACACTATAAAGCTATGCGGGGAAATATATAAAGAAAGGTGGTAGTGTTAATATAATTTTACTAAGAAAACCTTTTTACTCATTGTGAATTATAGTTCATTTTTAATTTAGTAATAATTTCTTCAATATTTTTAATTTTGAAAATAATCAAATACATCATATATTTTTTTATAAAAATAAATGGTATTTCCTGATTATACGCGCCCTTATATGTATTCATGAATGAATTTGCTATTTCACCAAAATAAGCATCTCATGACATTGCCAAAACATACTTATGGGAAAACTCATGCATGCACAGTAGACGAGGGAGGATTTCCATCTCCAAATGCTATGGTCATTCATGTTTGTTTTTATCGCATACAGTACAGTTTTTTTTTTTTAATCATAATGGGCTGTGGAGTTTGCTGAAAAAGAAAGCATTGCATTTTTTTTTTTTTTTTTTTTTTTTTTGGCTACTTTGCCCAACAATAGAGAATACAAAAATTCACATGAAGTTGCACTTCATAAACAACCAAATTTTATGAATCAAAATTTGTGTTATTCTCAGATGTTTCTTAAACCAAAAACTGATCGTTGTAAACATGGGGAGAACATTCCCCCCCCCCCCCAAAAAAAAAAAATTTTTTTTTTTTTTAGAAAAGTAATAGTTTTATTATTTTTTATTTCTCTTTTTATAAAATTCTTAAGTCTGCCACATTTTTCAAAACGGCTGTTGCTTTTTGCATATTTGCTGGTCAAAAATTAGTCGCCAATGAGCTGTCGCCATTGAGGTCAAAATTAGTCGCCAATGAGCTGTCGGTTTTTTTGGATGGGGATGCAAATAATTAAAAAGTACCACATAAATAAAATATGAATTAATCAATAAAAAATGTGAATGCTTTCATGCAATCTTAGAGAACATGATATTTAGATTAAAAAATATTTTTAGACATATTTCCATAAACAAAGCTTTTGCATCTAAAACTCTGGATGTTTAGTGTGATGTCTTAAATCTTTATACACATGATAAATTAACTTTTTTGTTAATATAAAATGCTATCCTTTTACTTACTAAATATTCTGTACATAATTGACATTTCTTTATAAACAAAAAATAATTTCTTATACTCCTCTTGAACACATCAGATGCTATGCATGTAACTACAATTTCTAGTGCATTCTTTTAAGTTATTCATGTTTTGCATGCTCTTCCTGATATAAAATGGTCTTTAAATTTTCTTCCGCATAAAACTAACATGGACTGAGGTCTGTGGATCACAGAAATAGCTAATTTTTGTCAGTTATAACACAAAACTTTTATCAACAACAGCAAGTGATTAAGGTCACCGAAAACTGGCAGTTTGACTCAGGTTCAAACCCAAGCAAATGGGCTTCCTGCATAATTGTTGTTCACAGTTTTATCGCTACATGTGCAACATGCAGGATCTGTGAATACAAACTATGCTTCCCTCAGAAAGTACTCTGATGGTATTCTTACCCTTAGGGAGATAGTCCTCATCTGGCTTGTTCATTTTTAAACAATGTATGATTATAATGTAACCTTTTAGGACACCCTGCATAACTTAAGGGAATCAAGTCTGCCAACTAATTAAAGTGCTATTAAAAGTTTTTAGATCTTCTACTTTTAAGTAATTATATTCTCCAGAATTCTAAATACAATCAATCATTCATAAAACTTCATATTTATTAGTGAGATTTCATTGATATGGTAAAGGAAAAATGTTTAAACTAGATTATTATACATGATTTATTATATAAATTTGCAATCATAGATCTACATGATTGCAATAAGCAATATTTATGAATTTTCTGTAATTGCTAATGCAAAATCCTAAACAGTAATTTACACGCATGCCCTCCCTCCAAAAAATTTACTGAATGATATCTGGCAATAAAAATCATTAACAGCACATTTTAAATGTTAAGTAAAAACAGTTTTTTTTTAAACAGTATTTCATATCGCTACAATCAGTATAAAAACACTATTTTTTAAGCATGTGAAGTACATTAAAAATTAAAATATCACAAAATAGTAGACAATAGAATTATATTACAGGAAAAAAATATGTATAGTTATAATAAATAAAACAACACATAAAATGACTAAATTATAATATTCTAAATTATAACAGTTACCATGAGAAGATAAATTTCCATTCTTTTCTATTTTTTCTTCAATATCCTGATCTTTTTTAAGTATGTCAAAATGAGCTGTCAAATAATAAATTTTCTATTAAATTCACAACATATGAAATATTTAATTTTTCAAATTAAGTATATACATATGTGTATACTTAATTAGACATTCCCAAACAAGAGAACTTTTCCTTTATTTGAAATTTCTGAATCTTAAATGGCTGACTCAAATAAAAATAAAAAAAATATCATTGTAAAAGAAAATATGATTGCTGCATTTTTGGTTCCACCAGAGCTAAAATGTATTTTTTAGCATATTTGCAAGTTAAGCATTTTTTGAAATACATACCTGCCAACCTCTAAAGATAAAAATTCAGATTTTTCCCCCAAATTCAGAAGATTTCTCCAAAATTCAGAAGAACACAAAGAATTAATATCATGCTTTGATATTAAAAAAATAACAATGTATACAAATAGAAAAAAGAAAAGTGTACTTACATTAGTAAATCTCAATTAAGTAGTAACTAAAAAAAATTATTAGGAAACATAAAACAAGAACTTAATGTTACACAAAAAAATTATTGCAATGAATTTAGAGTGCATTTTTTGGCTTTAGCCAAAAATTCTTTGGAAAATTTCCTGTCATAACAATTAGTTTCCTCATAACATTTAGCAATTAAAATGTTTTCTAGAGTTTTTGGTGAAATTGAAGAACGAAACATAGTTTTGTTTTCATTTCATTAGAAACATCACAGAAAAACGTGACAATGATGGGGTAAAGCTTCCAATCGCTGTCATTGCTGCCATCGATTGACACCGAAAATGCTGAATTCTGGAGTGCAGCTATTGTTTTACTTTGTGCATTGCAAGCAATTTCGTTCACAATAGAAGATGTTTTCGTGTGAGACAAGCATATTTCTTGGAGCATATTTCTGAGCAATCTTAGAGTCGGGAAACATCCGTCTGAAAAGTTGACCGGCGTGATCAGCAGCGCTTCGCGGCACGTTGTGTTCGATGAGGAATGCAGTAAACAAACACTCTGCCAAAATGACATCGGCATCCGAATTCGTAGCCGAATTTGAAAAAAAAAATCATATATTTTCTTTGACGTTGTCGAAGCCGAAGCATTAACTTCATGCTTTTTAGACTTAACATGCTTCACAATGTCGCTTCTTCCACTGTGACTTATTATGAAGTCACACACGTTGCAAAATGCATAGTTATTTCCTTTGAAGGATTCTTTAATTGTTGGAAATTCGGCTTTGTAGGCAGGCCGAAAATATTGAGAATACCTTTTTTTTAACTCATTTCGTAATAACGACACATTAAGAACATTCGTAACACGTGCAAACAAACAAAAAAAAAAAAAATGCGACAATCCACGCTCGCTGAGTAATTCCCTTGCTGCTGAAGCGAAAGCGAAAAAATTAATCTGCCGCCCACAAAGAAAAGAGTGGGAGAAACAAGTTCAGCGCATTGGATTGGCTGGTTAAGCGGCGAGTTGGGAGAAACCGCAGGTTACTGGATTCGAAGTAGTCGGTAGTTGGCGGTAAAACACGATGCAATTGGCAAAAATCGCTGAATTTGCGAAAAATTCTAAAATTTCGACAAAAATCACTAAAAACACTTGAAAAAGGAAAAAAATCGTAAAAAATGGATTACTATCATAAAATTGTAAAGACAAACGCATTTTCGGAAAAATTACAGAAAATTCGTAAAAGTTGGCAGGTATGGAAATATGACATAATCAAGTTTAATACTTTATCTGTGATACCTTTACTATCTCCCAAGTTAAATAATGGTTTAGGAATATGAATGTCCGAATATTCTCTTAGAAAGTTTTCTGTTAAAACACACTTCTTAAAATAGTCATTAGAAGCCTTAGCTTAATATCTTTAGAAAAAATAAATGGCATCTAGAATATTTTTTATAAGGCCAGAATAAGAAAAACCTAGTTTTTGACTAGGACAAAATTTTCAATGAAGCTAGAGAAAATAAACATTAAGAAATTTGTGTTACCTTTCATAGCACTTAATTGTTCTTTTGCAAAATCATTTTCTGCTTGCAATGCTTCAATCTGAGAAGAAATAAAATGAATACAAATATAAAATTTCTAAATAAACCAATTACATTCACATGGCAAAACACACACACACACACACACACACACAAAACAAAAAAAAAAAAAAAAAAAAAACTTTTCATGAGACAAAAAAACATAATTAGGTTGTATTATAAATTTGCAAACACGATATTCATTAAAGCATGCAAACCTGGGGTATTAAAAAACAGTGAAGAAAGAAACAGAGGGAATGCAATTAAAAATAAGAGATTTTGTGAGGACAGGCAAGACAGGTGCAAACACTTGATAAAATGAAAGAAGTTTGAATGCCATGATGCTTTGAGACGTCACACAATTGGTTTAAAGTCAAATAAAATTTCAGTCACTTAAAAACAAAATGCTTACATATACACAGAACATTATGCAAAACAGCAATGGAAAGTATATTCTAAACACAACCAGAACATACCCAAACCTGGCACATTCAGCTTTCTGAAAATGGACTTCAACTGATAAAAATGGATAAATATGGTGACCTTAATGACTAACTGTGAAAACAATGTTTGTTCAACACACATAAGTCAGTCTATTTTTGAAGTGATTAGATCCTCAAAGGCATCTGGGGTTATAAGTATCAAACAATGTGATTATTTCAGAGCCAGTAATCAAATTATTCCTGATTATTTGAAGTTTTTATACATAGCTTTTTTCCATCATGAAGAAAACATATTATTTTTTGGAAGATAATATGTCATCCCTCTGTGTCATTACTCACACATGGCTTGCGGAAAACTTAACATGATTTACAAACAGCTAGTAGTCACCAACGATACTGGATTTAAGTATTAAGTCACCAATGATACTGGATTAAACTGTACTGGGATGAAATGAGTCAAATCAGATCTAAGAATATGGATCATTCGTCACATGTGGAATTATGGATATACTGCTATACAAGCATGGCTTACAACTCCTCTGAAAACATTTCCAGTACCTTTTGGAGCTGATGTCTTGTTTAAATTCTGTCATCTGTGTCAAACACCACAATGAGGCTTTTTATAATTTGGTCATACTGTGCATATATATCATTATAAAAGCATCATGCAAAATAAGTTTTCTTAAATGAGTACAGAAATTTATAAACAGGGTTTAAAGTAATTTTTCCTTTTAATAACATAAATAAGGACATAGATTTCCCTTTTTTAATACAAAATTATAAACATGCTTCTGATGAACATTTTAAAATTCAAAGATTATGCGGCATACAAAATGCTACAAAAAAGGAAGCAATTTTTGTTAAGCAAGTTGAATATTATTCTATAGGTCTCATAAATAATACAAACAACTTTTATCAACCTGAAATAAAAGGAATAAAGAAAAACTGAAATGAACATGAACTATTTACTTAAATTACATTTTTTTTTTAACTGCATTGTCATGCAGTAAATAAGGGTTATTAAAGTCTTTTATTAGCAGAAATATTTATTTTTTTTTAACCAGGAGCAAAAGTCACAATCCAATTCCCAGTGGGATTAAACGTTAATATATTTTATGAAATAAGGTCCAAATTCTTTTTCACGCTTAAATTCATTTAAGAGTAACACTAGCTAATTAAATCAAAGAAAAAATAATCAATGTAAGATTATAAGATTCTTTTCTCATTAAGAGATTCATAAAATGAGTGTTTTCATTTGTAAGGTATTTCTCCCGCCTTCCTAGTGTGCCTTCGTGGTGCAGTGGTCAGCACACTGAGCCGGTACTTCAGAGATCCGTGGTTTGATTCTCGGGGAAGGCGTTGCTAATTTTTCATCTCTCTGGCTTTTCCAATTAATCTAATGTCTCTACAGTGGTGCCCGAACTAAAAGGGTTGTGGATGATGACTCTCCACACCCAGGATTTGGCGACTGGGTCCCCTAAAAACCCTAGTTGCCTTTTTAAAAGAGGCGTATGTAAGATATTTCTCCTGCCTTCCTAGCGTGCCTTCGTGGTGTAGTGGTCAGCACACTGAGCCAGTATTTCAGAGGTCCGTGGTTCGATTCCGTCGAAGGTGTTGCTAATTTTTCATCTCTCTGGCTTTTCCAATTAACCTAATGTCTCTGCACATTAACAAAATCTTCAAAGTATAGTTTAACACTACTATACCCAATCTGCAGTCCAGTATATTTTTATGTGTGGTTCAAAATAGAAGCTGTTTACGTATCTTGCAGACAATGACTATTTTCCCATAAAATTATACAAAAAATTTAAATTATTTAGTTGCTGATTCAAGGACTTTAAGAAGAGATTTCAAGCTCTGAGAAATATGAAGAAGTGCCTGTTTGTTGCAGAAAATCTTTGGCACATAGGACAACCAGCTGCACTGGGGGATGATTTTGCAATGCTATTTGACGAATTCCTCAAGCTCAGAAAGATATAAATTTTGAGGATATTTTGAAAAAGAAGAGATGAAAACAAGAGTATGTGGAATTTTGAAAATAAAAGACTACAGAAGTGTGCTTATTTTTTTTTATATCAATATACAGGACTGGATATAAACTTGATAAGGACCTACGCTATTTGAGATATGGAGCCCTTTATAAGTCTTTTATACTATATATTTTGGGGGGTGAAGAAAGTGGGCGTCCTAAGCTATAGCTTGCGTAGCTTATACATAAATCACTCATTGTCAGTATACCTTTGTGAATCATCCGATTCTAATATGAAATAAATGAAGAATTTTTTACAAATAAGCTCCGATTCTCACTATGATGATGTATTAAGAGCGGCATGAAGCAATTACAAAGCTGATTTGTCAAAAATAAAATATTTTCCGCCAAATAATAATAATTTTTAAAGAAGCACTCGGATACATAAATGTTTATTTTTACATTATTATACTATGTCACCTGCCTAATGTACCAAACTTATGAATGTGTCCTGAGACAAAAAAAAAGTTCAAAACCTTAGGGTCCACCACCTCCAAGAAGAGATTTATTAAAAGTTAAAAATGCACTGCAATTGTAAAGTAGTAAAACAGATAAAATGATTGTGCTCCAATTATTAACATATGGCACTTGAAACATCTTTCACTAATTACAATAAAGATTAAAATTATCATGAAGTGTATCAATTGGAGATATTATAATTTAATTCATATCAACTACACTTTTTTAGGAAAAAGATTTAAATGATTAAATAGTGCATTTATTGCTATTAAATTGCTCAACCTGTCAACTCACTAGCAAATTAATAAAATTTGAAAGGTCTGCTTTGCTGAACGGCTACACTGAGAATCAGTTATGCATGAGATTGCATATGGAAGACCTTATGCTTTGTGCAATGGTACATTTGCTATAACATACATAAAAATGCAGTTTTTGATTTTTTTTCATTCTTCATTTATCAGTTTCTGAGCTGGAAGAGTGTAAATGCATTTTGATTTTAACAGGATATGGTTTTATATGTTAACACATTTCTTTCAAAAGTATGAAAATAATAAGAAATTGTAAGTATATAGTAAAGCGCACCAATGTTTGTATCTGTTTGATGCATGTAGATATAAGCTTCTAGCAGAAACCACTGAAACAAAAATAATTTCACAAGTGATAACATTCCCTTTTAGATATTTTCGCCTATTACATAAGAATGGTAGAAGAATGCTTTGGTGAAATTTCATACTATTTTTCAATCAAGATACCATAGTCAAAATCCATAGAAAAGCACAAGAATGTGAACATTTCCTTATATGTTACATTCTATTCATTTAAAATTCAAAATTTACCTATTAGTTCAGAATCTTCCCTGTTTCATTCTTGAAAAATGAATCCACTGAGTAATCTGCCCATATTCTGTATTCAATCACTTAAATGTTATCTATCCATACGTTTCTGTGGCATATATTAATCTGCTATTTAGATTATTTACATATTTTGAGTTTTACAACAGCTAAAAATGACATTTTTATTGAATTATCTGCTCTTATTTATTTTACATATTACTTGCTTAGTTTTAATTTTATGTAATAAACCCCCTAAACATCTTCCATGCTTAATTTATAATTTTCTGGCACAAATTTTGAATATAAATAGACTGATATCACAACTGTCTTTACCAAAGAAGTATTTTACACATTTATGCAAAGCTTCAATAGACTTGGCACTAATGATTTTAAAACCTATTAAACAATGTTTTTTGAAATTTAAGATTAACTTATCACTGAAGAATCTTGCTTCTTACATCTTTGAAAAATATATCGCAGAGAAATCTATTCATATCTTGTAGTCTTTCAGTTACTTGTATTTTCATATTTCTGTGTTTCATTTATTTATTCTTTGGAGGGGGGAAGCTTGATAAGGTAATTATATTTAAATAATTGTGATAAATATAAAAAACATATCAAACTTTTCTAGGATTACATTTTTTGCATTTATAAAATCATTATACTGAACTCATTTCATTTATTTTTTTTTTCTATGCTCAATACTTCACTTGCTAATGCATAACATGGCCATCGATATTCTACTAAATCCAAAGTTATGGGTTTAATTAACAGATTTAAACTGAAAAATCTCATGAATATGTTAAGATAATTTATAATATTAAGATATTATGCACAAAATTATGCAATAATATGGAGAGATTAAATATCAGCCAAAATATAAACACTAGTTATAACCTTTTAAAAAAGATGTTGAATGCAAATCAATTGAGTGGACAAGCACAATATTCTCAGCAGATCAATGGGAAAATATTTTAATCTACATTTCCTTAATCTACTACAGTCAAAAGTCGTTAATTCGGACACCCATAATCCGGAATGCGAATATGCGTGTGCGCAAAATACGTTTACGAATGCGCGTTTAATGTATAACGGACGGTATAAGCCAAGCTAAAATTATCTAATTCAGTTAATGTTGCAGATTGCGTTGTTCCTTAATCTTCGAATTGGATTCAGCTTATTATTTTTTGCAGACTATTAGAGCAATTTTATGAAAGTAAGCTTGAACTTTTGATTATGTCAAATAGAATTTCTAACATATATTTACTAATATGTAAAGGATCTACAAAGCGAAATTATGTTTCGAAATTCATTAAACAAAAAGTGAAATTGCTGCAAAAAATGGATAAAGGCATATCCTTTGTTTATCTAAACTTTGTTTATCTTTTACCGCCGCGGCACGCAATGAATTGGAAGTTGATCTGTCAGCACTATTCTTATCTTCAGGGCAGATGTTTTTATTTTATTTGGCTTATAATTCCTTACTAAATGTAGTATTTAATCTCGATGTACTCTGCCTTTGATATGATTTAAATCAAATTCCTCATCATTATAATTCGCTTCCGCTAGCGAAGAAAGTGATACTGAGGTTATTGAAAACGAAAAAATTTCGATTTACAAATTAATCGGTATTCTCGACACAGCAATTATAGGACTTGAACAGCGGAACTTTGTAACTGAAAAAGAAATTATGTCTGTTTATAGAATTAAAGAGAAAGTATTATCCCATAAAAAATGAAGCAATTTAAACAACTTACATTGAAAGAAATGGTTAAAAAAGTAAACAAATAAATATTAAGCTGTTCTTTTTTTTTTTGTAAATTTTGATACCCTTTAGATCATAATTGTTCTTTATTTCATAAATTACGGTTTCATATTTTTAATTTTATAATTTCTGCATGCCATCTTACAAGATTTAACTGACGATCTATAATCCGAAAAAATCGATAATCCGGAATCGCCGAAGTCCCGACGAGTCCGGATTAACGACTTTTGACTGTATAATGAAGAAACAGAGACATAAAGAAGTTATTCCCTTCCCTCAAATTTTAAAGAGCCTTCTTTAAAATTTTAAAATAACAGTGATACATACAGAAAGAAATAACATGCAACAAAACTTTTATTTTAAAGAGAAATAAATCATGACATATCCCAGTAAAAGGTCAACAAGATACACATACAGAGAAAAAAAAAAGTATATCAATATAATAAGTTATTAGAATTTGGTTAATTATGAGAAATATATGTGATGCTGCCAAGAAAATAGCACTTCTAAATTATTTCATTTGGGAGAAAATAAATAACAATACAGATAGAGCACTTGGAATGCTATTTTTTCGCTATTTCTGATCATCTGCACCCTCATCCAAAAGTCCTGAATGCATTGCTATGCTACAGGTACAGAACAAAGATACTGTTATGAAATGTACAGCCACAGTAAGATAGCTTTCCTGCAAAGCAGGTTTAGGGTTGCCAGAAAATGGCAAGGTAAGGCAGGGTTGCCTTATTTGGTGACGAAATTGGTAATATGGCACGGGCAGATGAAGAACCTTCTGGAATGAATTCTTACCGGTTTATCTCAGAATGTTCTCGAACACAAGCCAAAAGCTATATAAACCCTGCTGGTATGTAGTTGGTTAGTCAGTGCGGAGTTAGAGAATCCATCAAGTTGATAGTCAATCAGTGAATGCTGAGTTGGTCGTCAAGTGTACCGAAAGAGTCTCTTAGTGTATAGTGGTTAGTGCATTGCCGAGAGAGTGTGTTGAGCTCCAAGAACGACTGAATCAAGGAATCGGGAGCTGTACTCTTGTGTATCATCAAGTGCATCGTAACTGTAACGTGGAGAGTCTTGAGAGTACGAGGAGTTCCGAGAATGACAGAGCAGATTCGGGAGCTGTATTCTGGTGGCTTTGCAGTGAAACTGTCTCCATCATTATAGCCTGATAGTGTGAAGGCTGTGTCGCTGATTGTGTCAGCGTGTTTATAGCAGTTCTTTGACGACTTGTAAATGTGATTTTAGAGCTGTCTTGAAGAATATTGGCCAATAAAGTGTGTTTCAATACTTTATCGAGTGCTGTCGTCGTTATTTACCCCAAATCCGCACGACCCCCGTACAAACACGAAGTAAAGGAAGAGAAATACGTAACAATACAAATTATATTCACATAGGAAATCCAGGTCAAATTCCATTTATTTAGTTATAAATACAACATAAAATGCATTCACAATAAGAAAACTTTAAAATGAGATAATGGCAAAAAAGCAGACATGCATTATATGTACAGCTATGCAAATGGTAACACTACAGCTGTGCTACGAAATGAACCACATGCAGTTTCTAAATAAGTGAATGCTGGATTACAGAATGTTTTGACAGTTACATGCTCAACTTTGAAAAACAGGTTCTCTCCATGTCACCAGATAGGATGCTGTTCCAGGATGAACTGTACGCAACCCGAGATTTCAGCTTACAGACCCAAGCTGCTGCACAAAGCGTAGGTGTGAGTCAGCATACCATTTGGAGATCATTAAACGGAAATCGCTTACACCCCTTCCATTTTGAGTCAGTACAAGCTTTTAATCTGCAGGACTCTCCTCTGCCTTTGAACTCCGCCAACAGCTTTTGCAGCAATATGCATTGCAGGCCAAACTTCAGATCTCATGCGTTATTTACAGATGAGGTGACACTTACCCATTACAGCACTGCATTGAGAATCCAAATGTAGTGCGACCACATGCGTCTCAACAATGAATCAGTGTGAATGTGTGATGTGGTACTGTCCATGACTTTTTAATTGGCCAATACCTACTGCCGCAGCGGCTCGATGGCTAAAGTTATCTCGTTTTTCTGGAACAGATGTTACCAGAACTGCTGCAAGATGTTTCAATCTCCATTCGTAACTGAATGTAGTTTTAGCCTGATGGGAAGCCAGCCCCCTTCAGTTTTAATGTTTGCTATTACTTGAATTATACTTTTGGGGTGCAATGAATCGGCTCTGATGGACCAGTCTCTTCACCACCCCGATCTCTGAATTTATCAAGTCTCCATTACTTTTTCTGAGGACATCTGAAGTTATGTGACTCCAGTCGACAATTTGCTTAATATCGGTAGTTGTTGCATGTGTGTGCGTGAGAAAGACCTGGCACCTTTGCCAGTGTACACCTGTCGCTCCACCGATGCTGTCAAGCATGTATTGCTGCTGGGGATGGAATTTCAAACAGTTCTTGTAAACATCTTATTTCAGTTGAAGTAAGACACCATGTATTTATGGCTATAAATAAATGGATTGCAACCTGGGTTTCCTATGTAAATATTATTCAAATCTTTGTTCTGCACCTTCCCTCCAAGTTTCCACAAATTCTAAAATAAATGCTCTCAAATGCAACACAAAAGGGGGGGGGGAGGAAGTGAATGGGGTAATTTTTTTTATCTTTCAAATTTAAGAAACAAAACTCGAATAAAATGAATTATCTGTTAATCTTAAACTTCTAGTCATGGAACATTTTAAAACTTTTTTTTTTTTTTTTTTTTTGAAAATGTAGAATTATAAAGATTGTTTTAATCTTCATTTTTCTAATCTCTATTTTACTGGATACTATTACTATTAGACTGGGGAAAGGGGTTAAAAACCTTAATTAAATATAAATTTTATTTTAAAATGTTTTGTGGCTAGAATTTTAATGGATTAATTGATAATTAACTTTACTTAGTTTTTGTTTCTTAAATTTAAAAAAAGTACCCATTCTATTTTTTATCAATTTTATATTTTTGCAGCTTGAGGACATTTTAGAATTTTTATTAAAAAATGTTTTTGGTAATTGCTGATTTAGTGTGAATTAACTTTTCCTTGGAATTTCATGCATAAAAATTTTCTTGCTTCTTGATACATATAGCATATTTATTGTTACTTAAATGAGAAAGTGTTTTGAATATTTTTAAAAATCTACACCTAAAATCACATATATAAGGCTTTTTCTCTTCAGGCAAAACAGTGACCCAGGATTCACAAAAAAGTATAATGCATTTTCAATACTTGGAACTTGCATATTCATTCTGGATAATAAAAATCAGAAGTCAGAACCCGATTAATAAATATATCTATAACCTTTGTGGAAAGTATTTGCTCTTCTTTTCTCATCTCTTCAGCACTATTTTCTAGAGCTAATTTATCTTCAGCAGTCTGATTCACTAGATCTTGATATTTTTCTTCTACTTCCTAAGAGAGATGATTATTTAAATTATCATGTTTATTGATAAGAATATATTCGTTTTACATATACATTATATGCACAGAAGAACTACATGCCAATAAAAATTTGTTGGCATTATTTTCTATTCCTTGCCCATCCCCACACCACTCAATGGATTTTTCTAACTTACTATAAAGGATAAAATTAAACAAAATTTAATCTACAGAGAAAAGAATAAAAATCGGGAAACTAGAACTACTAATGATAATTTTAAATAAAGTACAATATTCAATTCAGAAATCTTTTATTATTTGGTACAAACAGTTTATTATTACAAATAAATCTCAGACGAAGAAACCTTAACACTACTGATGGAAATGGAATCTGCTCTGAATACTAACATTTAACTTTCTGAATATGAACAATACAATTTTTTTTTGTAAATTTAACATTTCTTAAAGATCAAATGTGCATTAACAGCATAGGCTTGCTCAATGTATATGCATTGGTACTAACAGTAGGAAACAAAAATTCTATATGTTTTCAGAATGGCTGTCACCTGATGATAATGAAAAGTACGGCATATTTCTTGATGAGCAAAATCTATACAGTTAATTTTTAGAGCATATAATATTTAACAATGTTTTGTCTACATGCAAAGTTGTCAATTTTTAGTATCTGATCTTAGGTTTGGATTATCACTGCTTTAAATGGTAGCATTTTTAAAGAATACATGATTGCACATAAATTCATATTTTAAGTTATTGTGAAATCATTGAGCTAGAAAAACACTGCACATTGTAAATATAGATGATTCCCAAGTATAAATTATTTTTAAATAAAATTTTCAATTTCATACTTTCAGTTTAAAACCTGTATCAGCAAATTTAGCAATTAAATCAGGACATGCATAAATATGACTGTAATTGTCAGAAAATTTGGATTTTATTACTGCCTATTACTTATTAAATATACTGCCTAACACAGAAAAATGCCATGCCATAAAAGTGAAAATACATTAGCATACAAATTTCCATAGGGTATGTGCAAGTTCTGCAAATGATTGGATTAACAAGCCAATTAGATGATTATGTCAGATATAGCAAGCACCCAAACAAAGTGTGAAGCTAGCAGTTTTGACATCATCATGGCTATAATATGCAAGATTTTCCCAGTCTGATGGGAAAAGAAGACAAGGTATTTCTTCTAAGATATCAATGTAAAGTTCACAAGGGGCTTTAAGTTAAGCTTCCAGATTGCTGATTTGTCCTTGGGCCATATTGTGAAGGAAACACAGATTGTTGTCATAATTACTAGTCAGTTTGGTAAAAATGGATTCAGAAAAGAAATGTACGGAGTCGCAGAGATGAATGCCACATAACACTAATAGTCACATACGATGTCTGACCCACGGTTCAGAAATGGAGACACTTTATGAAAAGTATGGAATGTTACAGGATGCTTTCAATATTCCAATTACTGGCACGGTTTCACGATGATTGGCAAGATGTGGGATTGGTGCCCAGCCATACTTTATGAAGGCTTCCACTAACAGCAATCCATCATAATGAATGTTCACAATGGTGTTGAAGTAATTATTCTTAGAGTCAAACAAAACAGTACAGATTTCAGCAATAAATCTCGTTTCTGTTTCATAAATGTCAGCAATTAATCTCATTTCTGTTTCATAAATGTCAGCAATAAATCTCGGTTCAATTTCATAAATGATGAGCACTTGGTGTGGAGGTGATGCAGCCATCAGGTGAATGCATCTAATGTTGCAAAGTAACACATGGCCCATCAACCTGGAATAATGGTTTAAGGTGGCATTATTGCCAACAGCCATGTATCTCTAGTATGCATTACAATGACATTAACAGGACACTGTTATGCTGATGATGTGATGCAAACTACTCTCCTCTGTACTTTCAGGTCATCCTTAGTGCCATTTTAAAAAAGGTAAAACCCAGCAACACATTGCTCAATTCAACTTGAATGCATTGTAAGTGCTCACTTATCTAGCCCAAACCTTTGATTTTCCCAAATGAGCCTGCACTGGACATGACTGGGCATCTGTTAATTAATTACCTTCCCTTCTTTGCAAAACAAAAATGAATTGTGGGGTCATATCAACAAGCAAAATACTATCTGCCTAGACACTCATTGATTTGATGCAACAAAATGTTTAAGAATTTAAATGTGGCTGCAATTATTTTTGATGATTTGTACATTTCTGAAAATTAAAATTATTTCTTAAATACTTGATTACAAGTTATGGAAGAAGTTGGATCTGTTTCCTATCATATTTTCATGACGTGGCATTTTTGTCCATTAATTGTTACTGAAATATTTACTTCAATCATACAGCATTCTTTTCCAGTTAAAATTAAAGTTTACAACTGCTTCATTTTAAATGCAAGGTACATTTGAATGTTCCAGGGTAGAGTTACAAACAATGTGTTTTGATTATTCCCGCTTAATGCACTTCCATTTCTTATCAGCTGGTGTTTGAGAAAAGAAACCAGTGCCAATTTTTTCTGTAATCCTGGGAAACACTCATTTACAATCACAGAACTTATTTCTAATGCCTCTACAAGACTATTTTCGTAAATAATAAAATAAAGGTATTCTGCCGCTCTCATCTCTAGTCTCGACACAGAGATCTGCAAATCGTGTCATATAGGGACTAGGGAAGGCTACCTAACACCCCCAGGGGTATTGCTTCAACCTACACTTGCCAAAATTTTGCTGAAGATGTTTTATTGAAGCACTACATAACTGAAAGATAAATGATTGAACTACAAACAACTTTTTCAGCCACAAATAGTTCATTTTGGATCTGAAGAATCTATGGTATACAGAGCCAGAAAGGGTAGGATACAGCACCTAGATGACTCAGAATCACATAGCAACGAGGGTAATAAATGTAATCCTAACAAGATGGGGGGGATGGATATTGGGGGCTGTCACAGGAAAACTATCAACAGCCACGCGCAGATGTGTTAGGGTGGAAAATATGAATACATCATGATCGGAAACTGACATTTAAAGACCACATGTATAAAATAAATGATGACCTTCTCAATAATGAAGTTAGCCAAAGTTCTCTGGCTTTGTGCCTGTTTCATACCATCCACAGTTTTGCACATTTGATGGTGCTAGTTATCTGCTTAAAGGTGCTGTTCGTCAGAGCTGTAGTTGAAATGCAGCATTAGACATTTCATATTCAGACTGCAAATGGAAAGCACGGAACAATTTATGAACATGGAAATGGTGGACTTGCACATTGTATATAGCAAAGTTCACTGCAAGGGAAGGGCTGCGGCACGGAGGTATGCCAGACAGTATCCGAACAGACATGCACCGAATTATTGAATGTTTGCAAATTTGCACTGTGAATACAGGGCATCATGCAAAAGCAAGCATGACAGAGGGTGGCCACAAATGAAATGTACACCTACCTTAGAAGATGAGATATTGTTTCGAGATGAAGAAGCTCCTGGTACAAGTACACTAACCATTGCCCATAATACTGCAACATCTCAATTCAATGGATGGTGCACATTACATAGGAAAAGATTACATTCATATCATTTGTAACAGGCCTAGTCATTGTAATCTGAAGACTACCCTCAACAGGTGGAATTTTTGCACTAGTACATGGACAAACGTAACCAGAACCCAGCATTTTCATTCTGCATTCCTTTTTCACAGATGAAGCCATTTTCTGCCATATAAGAGATCTCCAATTAATAGAATGATCATGTGTGAAGCCCTGACTACTCACGAAGTATGCGCTCATGCTGCCAACAACGGTTTTCGTGAATGTATGGGCAGTACTGTTAGTGATTACTTAATTGGGCCATATATCTTACTCCTCCTGGAAGCTAGAAAATACTGCATTTTTCTGGAGGAGGAATTGCCCCAATTAATCAACAATGCTCCTATCACTCTTTCACATGCATTGTGGCACTAGGACAATGGGGCTCATTTTGCCCATGCTGTACAGGATTATTTGAACAATACACTTACACAGCAGTGGACTGGGCATGGAGGACCCATTCCATAGCCACCATGATCACACTATTTATATACTCTAGATTTCTTTTTTGAGGGAACCCTGAAAGCCAAGATCTATCAGATGCTGGTTGACTGACCTTAGTGCAAGAATCTCTGTAGGTACTGCAAATGTACCCTATATGCTGGGTATTTTTTGAGGGGTTCAACAGTCCACACATCGTCGTTACAAAGGCTGCAATTCAGTAATGAATGGTTGGAACTTTAAGCACTTGCTGTGAAAGTATTGTAAATTATTGTCAAAGAGTTTTTCCACCCATTATTGGCTTGTCATTCCCGTTTCTTTATTTATCCTCCAGATGATCAGAGGTAATAGGAAAAAAATTGTTGGAATTCATTGTGATCAAAAATGACATTTAAAGACTAAAAGATAACATTTTAAGACATTTAAAGACATTAGTTTTAGTATCTTTAGGTCTTTAACATTTAAAGACTAAAAGATACGCCCCATCTTTCCTGATGATGAAGGTCTTCGTCATTTCATAACTTCGTTTAAGGTATGGAATATTGGTCATTTGAAATGGCACATCTTCATAGCTTTCACAAAATGTCTGATGAATACACAGCCTACTTCAAAATTAGAGATTCCATGCGATGCCCATGCTACAAAACTTTGGACTTCATTATCAAGAAAGTCAGAATTTATTTGAAGCTTATGGTCTTTATATGTCAATTTATGATCACAGTGCATTCATATTTTTTATTTTAACATTTTTGCAGATGGTTCTCGACCATTTTCCTGTAACAGCCCCTAATTACCCTTGTATTATTTGGCATACTTCACATATCTTTGATTGATGAATGCCCAGCCTACTTCAACATGTTAGAAATCCCATGCGAAGTCAATGTCACAAAACTTTGGACAACTTCATTATCAAGAAAGTCATGACTTATTTTAAGCTTAGGGTCTTTAAATGTCAAGTTGCATTCATAGTTTTTATCCTAATACTTTTTGAAGATGGCTGTTGACCGTTTTCCAGTGACAGCCCCTAATAACCCCTGTATATTTAGGTATACTTCACCTCTTCTAGAGGTTTGTTCCTCTAGTTTTTAATCACCTGTGTACATATATGTATATAAACATTTCAGGTATTTAATAAAAATAAAATGCATACTTTTAGCAACAAGTTTTATAACTGCAAGGATTTTAAAAATTTAAATATATGTACATATCATTAATTTATATCACATACCTGCAATTTTTTTGTAAGATTTGTAATTTCTTTTTCATTTTCAGAGGCTTTTTCTAGTAACAACTGAATTTCTTGCTCTTTTTTCCTGTTCAATTCATCTAGATGTGTGCATTCATTTTCTGTATTGCTTAATGAGTTCTACAAGCAAAATACAGTAAGGTCATATATAAGGCACACTATCCTAAAAAAACTAAAATAATTTAATCAATAATTTTATATATGCTGATATATATCTAAAAATCAGAATTTACTTCTAAATCTTGAACTTTTCTAACTGCTTCTAATTTTTCTTGAAGTACTTTTCTTAATGATTCCTGAAAATTTGGTAAAAATTTTCAGTACTGCATAAATAATTCATTTATTTTTATATTTTCACAAACTGTATTAAAATTTAAATATGATTAATACCTTTGCTGCCATTTGATATTTATCTTTATCTTCCTGCAGTTTAATAACATCATCTTTCAGTTTTTCTTCTGTTACATTCTAATAAAGAGATAGAATACTTTAAAAATTTTTTTAATAATATTGTATTAACATTTTGTAAACAATAACAATTATACGATATTTAAAAACTGTATAGGCAAATGTAGTCTAAAAAATAACCCCTTAAACAAACAGGGCCATGAATTCATCTTCGTGTTTATAACAACATCAATGAGAATATTAATTGTTAAACTGTGCATAAAATATACAAACAAATCACTTTGTCTTATATGATGATTAATGGAGACCACTGAAATTATCAAAATTCATACAGTACATTAATCGTAAAGATGTATTTTATGTATCATTAAAAGTTTTATAATAAATAAGATAATTAAATTCAAATTTAAAAGTGAATATGCGCAAATTAAAATTATTATGTTTTTTGTTAATTACAGCCATATCATCAATTTTCAATAATTTCCGCCACACTGGATTATTCTGCTCAGGCAAAACTGACAAGGGTTGTTTGCTTATGCTGTATCCGAACCATTCTTTTTATCACCCATCTCCCAAAAAGGAATTTTTGACTCAAGAGATTTTAAGAATCCCTATGCTGCAAAGATACTACAGCTAATAGTTTATTAATCATAATACCCAGTGCTAATGCAAATTTGTTATAACCACATTACATTAAAAAAACAATGATTTTTCTTTCAGAAAAATGAACTGGAATATTCTTTTACCCCTTTTAAGTTTGTTCCTTTATGTTAATTAACCAGTTATTTATGATTTAGAATTTTACTGTCACTTCTTTCCTTTTCCATGCCAGAATGCAAATAAGCTCACATGTACTCAAGATGAGGTTTTTTAGATTCTACGACAGAGCCTGCTCTGCCTCCCTAGGTTGCTAGCTCAGATAAGATTTTCAGTCCTTGGCCTTGCATTATAATTTCCAATATTTGAATACCTACACCAGTAAGTTTGTCAGCCAACTTTGCATTAAATCAATTTGTATAGCCTCTGGCTAGTAGCTTACTTGAATTTAAGTTACCTTGCCATTAATTACTGGCTGAGCTGTAAGCACAAGGTGTGCGTTTTATTCTTCTTAGTTTTAAATAAAAGGATCTTTTACACCCCTTTTCAGTTGTTACTTTAGACTTGGTGATACTTCGCTTAACATCTACTAAGAGTTTGGACACTGTCTGATGACTGCTAAAAATACCAAACTATATAGTGGTACCCGAACAAAAGTGAGAACTGTGGCTAAAAACATTTAATGTTTAGACTCGCCCCCTCAACACCACAAGTTCGACTTCCACCGGTAAGTTCTACGGAGGGATTTTGGATACATCATAGATTGATGTGCACTTCAGTGAAACCACAGATTGTTTCAATGGCAGAAATAAGCACAAAAAGTTACCACAGCAACCGTGTTATTGTGAGGCCAGGCTCTGAGCTGATTTAGTGAATGAATTTGGGTGAATCAAGCAGTGAAAATTTTACATTCCAAGTGTTTAAAAACTGCCCTGGTAAAAGCATTCCTGTGATGAAGGATAGTGCCAAACTAGAGGCAGAATTGTTTAGTAGAAGGTCGAAGAACTGACCGAATTAATATTAAGAAAAACTCAAGTAGTTAATTTGTTGCATGGGAAAAGGTCTGATAAAGAGGGAACACAAATTAACTTGTCTAAGCTGTTATTGCAAATTCAGAACTTTTTTCAGTTCAGAGACCTGAGCAGTTATTTCAGTTTGCAGTGAGGTCTGAAGGCAGAAAAGAAATAACAAACTACGTTACACCAGGATATGACCGAAGGTTGAACGAACAGTTTTATATGTCTGTAGCAGAAGGAAGGCAGTGCGGTTTGATGGTAATTAACATTTAAAAGTTAGAAAGAAATTTTTACCAGTGAGTGGCAATCACCAAAATTATTAACAAAAGAGGAAACAAGGGGAGGATAGTAAGAAGTTAGATTAATAAGGGGTACTGAAAATAAGAGGGTACAGTTACTCCCAAAGCAAGAAAATTTCTCCAAAATTCCACTGAATACAGTTGTTACAAAAAATTTGGCTTCGCCTATAATCTAAATATTGTTGAATAACATGCCAGTGGCCACAGAGGCACAAAGCAATTTCTTAGAGGAGAACTTCTATAGAAAACAATTTAAGTGTATTGAATGTCTGGGATGCAAGGAATGACAGTTGTGGCTACCCAAAGCAAACAGTGTACATACGTAGGAAAAGTCACATTACATGTTCAAGTAGGAAATCAGAAAACGTACTTTTCTTCATTGTGAAAAATTTGCAAGCTCCAGTAATTTTGGGTATAAGATTTTTTAAAGAGGGCAGGGGCTAAAATTAATTTTCAGGAAGACAGTACAGCTGCAGATGATGAACTGGAAGCAACAGAAATGAAGCCTCTTACAGTGGATCTCGAACACCTGATGCCCGATGAAAAATACAAGATGAAACAATTGGTAAGCCATTTTGCTAAATTGATGATGCTCCAGGTTTAACCCAAACTGTAAATCACAGCATAGATACAGAAATAGAACCCCCCCCCAGTGCAGCAAACCCTACCGCTGAGATGTTACAAAATAAGGTCATAATTACCATCAGCAGCCCTTATGCTGGCCCAGCAATACTATGTCATAAAAAGAATAATTTCCCGCTGATGGGCCATCCACCAGGTTTTAAAGGTCGATGGATATTACACTAAGGCCTCTCCTCAGGAAAAGCATTTATATCTACCTAGATGATATAATTGTATCTATCTACCAATACTATAGATGAACATATTCAGGATTTGCACAAAGTGTTTTAACTTCTGAGCAAAGACACATTAAAAATAAATACACTAAAATGAAAATTTATGGTGAAGGTTATAAGTTATTTCAGAAAGGAAATGAAACCAAGCTTTCCAAAGTAATGATGAATAAAAAATTACCTGCCATCAAATACAGTAAAAAATGCTGTCCTTATTTTTGGGCTTTTGTTTCTATTATAAGATTTTATCAATGACTTTGCACAGGTAATAGAACTGTTGTTAAAATTAAAAAGAAAGACAGATATACTTGGTTGGCTGAAGCAAACACAGCGTTTGAAAAAATTACAAGAGCATTAATTCAGGTGCCAGTTTTGAAATTGCCACTGATGCATCAGATTATGCAGTAGGAGTTGCACTTATGCAAGACAATTATCCAGTTGCACATTTTAGCAAGACTCTGAATCAAATTTAGAGGAATTATATGGCTACAGAAAGGGAAACTTTAGTAATTCTTTTAGGGGTTTGAAATTTTGAGTGTATTTTGGGTAAGCACTTATTAAAATTTACTTACACCATGAGTAGTTTTAACCCTTTAACTGTCAAGTTATTTTGATGATTTGGGTACACAAATTGTCAAATTTTTTTATTGGAAAAATCAAATGTTTAGTACAGAATAAAATATACTTAAGTAGTTAAAAATTGATATTTTTAAGTACATGGGTAAAACTTTTAAAGTTTTGTAGCCACTGCATGTTTGCTTGAGGCGGCTGCCACTCAACATGGCAGTTGTAAAATTAGCTTCTAGTGGAGCATTATTTTCTAAAAATGAAAAAAAATTAATTATTTTCTAAAAAATAAAAATGAAAAAATAAATAAAAGTGAATACCTATTAGTAGTTTCAGTAATTCAGTCTTGTGTGGTACAACTGGAAACACTTTTCCAAGCACAAACCAACTCCACAATCACTACACCAGAATCTTGTTTCCTTCCTTATCTTTTTCCCATTTTTATCCTTTTTCGAACAACACACTTTGCACTGTCTTGTAGGCTCACGTTTCACAGGAGTAGGTGGAATATGGGAAATAAAATGTTGTTCAGTAAGACGGGCAGGGTTATCTATTGTAGGTAGTCTGCCAACATTCTTTTGTCCAGAAGCTCCATCATATTTATGTAAAAGCTCTTCTACAACTTGGATTCGAAATTTTAAAAATGTAATACATTTCTCAACTACATTTTTATAGGGCAAATATGAGTTCCAAAGTACCCTGTCTAGTAAATGTAAAAATATCTTTTTATAATATTTTTCTGACATTTTCGGATTGTTGGATGAAAGGATATTTCCTGATCACAGCGATCTACCCCACCCATAGTTAGACTGTAGTCAGAAACAGTCTTCGGCTTGAGTATATCTTCATTTTTTTTTTTTTTTTTTTAATTTTTGAGGCTGACCATGGAAGTATCATAAATACTGCTCATCAAACACACATCCTTCATCTTTGGTTGAAGAATCTAAATCATCTATATAATGTTTCAAAGAACTGGATTAACTATAGTAAGTATATTTGCTTTGACTAAGAGCAGAAACTCATGATAGCAGCTTTTATCCCACAAAACACTAAGTCTTTATTAGATGTTCAGCTTAAACAAGTGCAAACAAAAAATTTAGGTTGGAGAACAACTTCCATTAGACATTGGTTGAAAGACCTTTCCACTGACAGTAATTAAATCCAAAAATGGTTAAAAACTATGCTAATAGCAAAGAGCATATAATAATGCAGACAGCCAAGTTTGTTTTTAGTCACGAAGAATCTACTATCCAAATTTTTTAACAGGCTGCAATTTCTGTACTTGTCAAAATATGATCAACTTTTCCAGGCTGTGCACCTGAATGTGAATATGCATTTACATGCATCAACATTAAAACTTTGAACTCAAGAGTTATACGAGAATTCTATATTTACAGTATTCTCCCATGAAGCGATTCAAAATGTTTTTAAAGTAGCATTTAAATTACTGCTTGTCTGAAATTTACACAATTTACAAATGTCTTATATGCACAAAAAAAAAAAAAAAAAAAAAAAAAAAAAAAAAAAAAAAAAAAAACTGAAAACAGTAAAAAATAAAATCAGCAATTTGAACCGTGCCCTTTGAACCAAAGAACTTATTACCTCTAACCTTTGAAATCTTCAGTAAAGTGCTGTCATCTATTGAATTGAGTGTACATTAACTTTTCCCGAGATACATTCGGGTTTGACAAAGAGATGAAGCCGAAATAAACGTCTCTCGATATATA